GTGCAGCCATCTTGATTGTTTACAAGTGGTGGCCATTTTGGATATTTAAAGTGACTGTGCAGCCATTTTGAATGTTGACAAGCAGTGGCCAGTTTGGATTTTAAAGTGACAGCATTCACATTTGGATTCCAGGGACCAAGAATAAGCTCCATTTGCCAAGGATAGGAGGGACATATGGGAGGGTGACAACTGGGAGGAAGACAAGTGGTGAATGTATAAGTGCTGCCAACTAGAAAATAGAGGAGCATAGCATAGTACCCTGCTTAAGTAGATAACATACAAAGAAAATGAAAACTGTGGGCAAGTCACTCCAACATACAATCACCAATTAACTGTAAACACAAAAATGTCACAGTGCCTCAGAGACAACAGAGCATCATGGTCCACACAAAGAAGCAAGATAGAGCAGGAAAAACAAGGGACCAGGACACAGACCTAAAACACATCATTGAGGAAGATGCAGCATTGGAATTCCCTGATAAGGAATTCAAAAGAATTATATTTAGGTGCCTTCAATTAATTGAGAGACAAATCAAGGAGAACACTGACAAAATGGAGGAAAACACAGAGAAAACCCTAGAATAATTTCAAAAGACAATACAAGAACAAAATGACAAAATAAATGAAAACTTAAAATGATACAAAATCTACAGATAGAAATCCAGAAGATTAATACTAAATTTTCAGAAATGGAATACTCATTGAATGGGCAAAGGAGTAGAATTGAATCAATGGAAGACAGAATTAGTGAGATTGAATGCAAATACCTCCGTACTTGTTTGGAAAAGGAACAAACAGAAAAAAGATCAAAACAAAATGAAGAAAGCCTAAGGTTCATGTGGGATACCATCAAAAGAAATAACCTATGTGTCATTGGAATTCCAGAACAGGAAGAGACAAATAAAACCACACACACACACAAAAAAAAAAAATTCTAAAAGATTTGTTGGAAGATAATTTTCCTGGTATAATGAAAGATGAGAATATATCCATTCAAAAGACCCCAAAAGAAAATCATCAAGACATATCATCATCAAACTCACCAAAACCAAAGACAAAGAATCCTAAAAGCAGCACTGGAAAAATGAAAAGTTATCTACAAGGGGCAACCAATAAGAATAAGCTCGTGTTTCTCAGCAGAAACCATGCAAGTGGGAAGACCATGGGATGATATATATAAAACCCTGAAAGAGAAAAATTTCCAACCAAGAATTATATACCCAACAAAACTGTCCCTCAAATATGATGGTGAAATTAGGACATGCCTAGATAAGCAGAAACTAAGGAAATTTGTTAAAACCAGACCAACCTTACAAGACATGCTAAAAGGAGTCCTTTGGACAGAGAAGCAGTAACAGCAAACAACAACCGACCATTAACACACATGATGACATAACTCAGAAAACAACCCAGTTATAGAAGTATACAAAATTGTATACTACAAGATTGTAAACAGGGAACCAAAGACATCAATTGACAAATGGAGACAACTGCAAAACCTGTTCAAAAAGAGGGAAAAACTGTAGTTACAGAGCTTCTGAATGGTAGGGAAGTCAAGACAAATGCAAGATAGAATGGACTGTTCTAAACTTGGGAAGAATTACAATTCACAGGGTAACCTCAAAGAAAAATGATAAACCTTCACATCAAGGTCGAAAAGAGGACCAGCACAAATATTTAGCAAATACTAAAATGATAGCAATGAAGGAAGTGATAACACGATTCATAAACAAAACGAGCTCAGCACAGAAAATTATATGGAACAAAGAAATCAACACCATGAAAAAGCACATAACAAAATGACACCAACAAATTCATACTTGACGATAATTACATATCTTACAAAAGACTTATCTCTAAAATTTATAGAAAACTTCAAAACCTCAACAAAAAAAAAAAATTAAAAATTCAATTGAAAAATGGGCAGAAGATGTGAATGGACACTTCACCGAAGAGGATATTCTGACAGCCAGCAAATACATGAAGAAATGCTCATGATCATTAGCCATCAGAAAGATGCCAATCAAAACAACAATGAGATACCATCTCACCCCAGCACTAATGGCAAAGTTCAACAAGACAGAAAATGTCAGATGTTGGTGAGGATGTGGAGAGTTTGGGACTCTCATCCACTGCTGGTGGGACTGTCAAATGATAAAGCCACTGTGGAAAACAGTATGGCGATTCCTTAAAAAGCTGAAACTAGAAATACCATTTGACACAGCAATCCCGTTACTAGCATATAGCCTAAAGAAGTGAGAGCCAGGAGAAGAGCAGATGTAGGCACACCCATGTTCATCACAGCACAGTTTATGATAGCGGAAAGATGGAAACAACCTAGGTGTCCATCAACAGAAGAATGGATAACCAAACTATGGTACATACACACAATGGAATACTATGCAACCTTAAAGAATAAGGTAGAATCTGCAAAACACCGCACATAACATGGATGAACTGGAGGACATTATGCTGAGTGAAAGAAATTAATCACAGATGGACAAATATAGTATTAGTTCATTATTGTAAAAAGTCAAGGAAAGATTTATATATGGAAGGGAACTTTCTTTGTTGGTTACCAAGGGTGGAAGGGGAGGAGAGGGAACACTGCAAAAAACAAAAACAAAACAAAACAAAAAATGCATTGGCCCATATCACTTTAGTTTTGTGTATTTCACTGTACATAAATTATATTTCAATAAAATGCATTAAAAAAAACTGTATAAACAAGACTTACTGTTCCCAAACTGTCTTTATAGTTTGTTTGTTCCTCCTCTTTCTCTCCTCTTCTACAATTTATTTTTGTTTTTGTCTTTGTTCCTTGATACTTTTTTGACTGTACCTCATGTGAGTAAATCTGCCAGCTGGTAACTAATTAAATGTCTCTGAGTTATTCTTAGGCACTACACAATTCCCTTTTTCCTCTTACTTGCCTGGTTATTTCTTTTCAGCCTCCTCTGCCAGTTCGTCCTCCTCTGCTCAATCTGTTACTATTGGAGTACCTTAGTGCTTGTCGTAGCTCCTCAGCAATTCTCTATCTACACATTTTCTCTAGGTGATATTTTCTGGGCCTAATGGCTCTGGTAGCATAGTGCCTAAAGCACTTGACTGCTAACCAGAAGGCTGGCAGTTCAA